GTTTTTAAATATATGGAGCTTAAACTTTATTAAAAAACTCTACACAAATAGAATAGAACATGTAACTTAGTACTCGTAAAATAGAACTCCTATATTTTTAAATTGTAAATGGAAATGGGATTTTTTAAAGAGAAAATATACGGAGTACTACACTATTAAAGAAATCTACCGAAATAAGAATAAAATATGAAACTTTATCAAAATAGGGCATGTTGTTTTGGGAGTTTTGGGAATGAAAAATAAAGTGAAATATTGGAAAATACTAGAAAAACTTAGGAGAAATTAAAAGAAGTTAAAAGATAGTGAATTGATTGGAAAAATATGAGAGGAGTTAGAAAAAAACAAAAAAGAGTAATTAAATTTATAGAGATGATTTTGATAAAGTTTGACTTCAAATTCAAAATCAACTTGTGAGGTGCAATTGAAAGAGTGAGAGTGTGTTCGGGTCGGGGCAGGGTGGGGGGTTTACCGCGGGGTTAGGGGGTTAGAAACTGTCTATTTTACGAACGAAACACCGGAGCATCCCCAGGTCATCCCATGACATGGAGTTCCGACATCATAGGAACTCCACCTTTTTATAAAATAAAATTTTGAAACTTCTCCACGAGACAAATGTAATGAAATACTCCGTAATTTTTATGAAGTTCAAAGTTAGTTGGATACGATTTAAAAAAATTAAACGGGATAGAATGAGGTGAGTATTAAATAGTGTGGGGCCGGCGTTGGAGAAGGGGAAACGACAAGGGGGTGAAGAACACGAAAATGGGAGTGACGAATTGAGACTTCGTTTTCAAGTTAGTCAGTCAGAGGGGAAAAGCAAAGCAAAGGTAGAGTTGGTGTGGGCATTTGCTTTCTTTAATTTTGTAGCTATGTTTTTGACCTTTTGCTAATGTCTTCTTCTCTTTCGGCGGTGCCCCCGCCCATATTCGATCATCGGGGGTTCTCCCCTCCCCGGCCACACCCTCCCCTCCCTCCCTCCCTCCCTCCCTGCTGATTCTTGTGATTTCTTGATGTGACATAGCATGAGAATGTATGTTTTTCCAAACATGCAATGTGTGTGTTCTTATGATCAAGAAGAAGAAAAAATTATACAAGTTTTGAAAAGAATTGGGTCCCATCTCCGAAGGCTCCTCCACAATCCATTTGATAGTCAAATGAAAGAAGATAAATTGAGTTATAATCATTAATCATACACTAACTTGTAAAGGTTGGAACTCGCACCTGGCATTTGCAGAGACTCATGTTTAGCAGCATAATTACCTTCCAGTATACTTGCTAGGATTCGAACTCATGTTTTCTCTCTTTGACACCTCTTTCTCAACCATCTAAGTTACGACTACCGATACAAATTAAAATAAATACTCTGTACTATGATTAGTGACAAAATAAATAAAAGAGTAAATTTTATAATTGTTCTTTACTTTGATATTTAAAAAACTACACCAAAATTGTAACAAAACAAGAACTGACAAGACTAACTTTCTACTCATTGTTTTTTTAAACACTTTTCTACTCATTCTATCCCATAAAAATGTTTCACGTTTCCTTTTTCGTTCGTGTCAAAAAAGTTCAACTTTCCATTTTAAGAAAAACAATTGTGGCCCTTAAAAATATAATTAAGAAACCTCCCTCGATAGAAGTAAAAAAGTATGAAAAATGCCAAAACATAAGTCTTAGGTCTTCTAAGACCAAAAAAGAGTATAATCATAGTGTGATGTAAGACTACGTGTTGGCAATGTGGTGGAAAAATGATGACAATGTAATATATCAGTGTAATCAAACAATTGCCAGTGAACCGCGACTCTCTGGTGGCCGGCAGCGACAAATGACAGTGTGACAGAAATAGTGTGGCACTTACAATGTGACAATGTGGTGAATGTGCAGTGTAACAATGATAGTGTGAACTCCTATTTTTGGTTTAAAAAACTTATGACTCATATTTTAGTATTTTAATAGTTTTTTACTCATATCTAGGTAGTTCACTCTCTCTCCTCGCATTAAAGCATGAGCAATGACAAGGCAAAAATTGAGTGAAACATGGTGATGTGGAATTTTTTAACCAATCAAAGTCAGTCATTCAGCGTCTGACAAGTGAGTGGTGCGGCAAACCTTACCATTGCAAGTCATTATTTTTGTCGCTTTTTATACTTTTCTCAACGTATTTGAATTCTTAAAAAATTAATGATCTTTTTTTGGTAAAAATAATTATACTCCTAAAAAATTTTCTTCTACTTAAAAAATATTTAAAAAATGGCTTGCGGCTATGCCCCGCATGGCAAAAGCGATTAGCCACACAAGGCAAGGGATCGGAAGATATTTGATGATGTGGCAGGGCATGACATGGCAAAAGAGGTTAGCCACACAAGGCAAGGGAAGATATCTGATGATGTGGCAGGGCATGGCAAACACTTGTCTCGCCACTGCTACTACTCTGATATTGCTCTCAAAGATATAATTTTATTTTTCTTAACCTACGTGTCAAGTCAAGGATGAAACATTTTTATAAGAGGGAGAGAATTAAGGTTGCATTCTCTTCAAATGAACTTTATGTATTTGATCTAAATTTTTTAAAACTAATTTGATTTGATGTTGTTAGAATATAAATAACTATTCCTGGGCCACAACCACAAGCTTGAGCTTCTGGTTGAGTTGGTTCCTTGACATGGTATCGGAGCCTCGTTGACTAAGAGGTCACGGGTTTGAAACTCAGCGCCACCCAGTTTAAAAAAAATTAAGGTTTCACGTGCAAGGCTCGAAAAAGACTACGCCTGCACGTGAGGGGGCGTGTTAGAATATAAATAACTATTCCTGGCCACAACCACAAGCTTGAGCTTCTGGTTGAGTTGGTTCCTTGACAGATGTGAATGAATCAGATCAAATTTGATATGAATGAATATGATCTTATTTAATTGTAAAATAATTTAAAGATGTTGTTGATCTGATTTGGTATACTTCTAATAAGTACATGTAATAAGTAAAAAAACAAGTTAAAAAGAACATGTCCTAAATAATTAAAATAGAAAATAAAGTGGTCAAGATTTGATCATGTGCATAGTTTGAATTTTTAGTTTTCACAAGTTTTGGTTAAGCGTTTAACTATTTTTGTACCAACTTGATCGAAGAACTGTCTTTGTAGTTACATTTCAGTATCAAACTTTAATTGTTTTCTTTATCTAATTTCATTTTTCATTTGATAAAATAATATAACCGTGTCACCTCTTTTTTATACTCTCCTTTTATGTCATATAATCTCTTTCTCCTTTTATTTAAAAATGACTTTCATCTCTATTAAGTACTCCCTCCGTCCCAAAATGTAAACAACAGTTACCATTTCGGCTTCTCGATAGTTTTTGTTTGTTTATTCATTTTTGTTGACCATTTGATAAAATAAAATATTCTTGTCGCATTTTGTTTTATAAATCCTTTGATCTATTTTAGAATTGTGTAATTTTTATTTTTTATTTTCCTACCAATTTGTAAATAAAATGATTTTAAAAGAGATTATTTTACACGTCGTTCGAAATGTTGTTTACATTTTGGGACGGAGAGAGTATTAGTTCTTACCCTACATATTACAGAGTATAACATACATATTCAATAATAATCAACTCATCACATCAAAGATAATTAGGAAAAGTCAATACAAAAAATTATCTTCCTTAGATCTTATAAAAATCAAAACAAGGACTTTTTGAGACGGGAGGGGGTTCAACTTTGGGTATAGTTTTTAAGTATAAAAATATTATTCTAAATTTTTTTCACTTATAAATAAATAAATTGAATTGAAAATAACTTCAATTAAATCTCGTAAATTAAAACATGAAGAATTTTTAAGACGGAGAAAGCATAACAAATCTTTTGATAATAATTTTAGAAAATATTTTTGGATAATACTTTCTCTGTCCCAAAAAAATTACCATATTTTGACTTTTTGTCAACTATTACATATTTTGATTACAAATTAAATATAGTTTTAAATTATTGAATTTTATGAAGTGATTTATCAAAACAATATTTAAGAACGAACTCAATTTTATTAAATTTACATTATAACTAAATATACATTTTCTATAATTTGTGGTGAGATATATATAGAGTTAGACCAAAAAAAAGTCTCGTGGGAATATTTTTGAGACGGGGGAAGAAAAAAATTTTAAAACTACTACTGGGTATAAAAGTTAGAATATAGTTTCATAAATATCATCATTTATTTGTTTTGGGTTAAATAATGGTCCAGATGTATAAAATTCAATTTGAAAAGTTAAGTAAACGAACCCAAATGGATGACATGTCACATTAAAAAAATTGATGTGGGTATAGGTAAAAATTTTTAAATAGGATAAAAGAAGTACGAGTAATGCATAATGCACACATTTGACTATTTTGGCAACCATTTTAAGAAAGAACATTACTATTTTCACTCAATTATTTTTAACAATTGACATATAATTAAATAAAATATACTCTATCCGTCCTAAAACTATCTTCCCAGTTATTATTCATACGGTCAAATTTAAATCACTTTCTTTACCTATTTTCGGTTGTTATTTGATAAAATAATATAGTCTTGTTACCTCTTACTTTGTAGAACTTTTGATCTAGTTTTTAAATATATAAATTTTAATTTTACACCTACAATTAAATAAATTGAATTGAAAATAAAGTTGGTCAAACCTCGTAAATCAAAACGAGAAGATAGTTTTAGGAAGGAGGAAGTATATTGTATATTAATTAGGTAAAATGATAATCTGAAAATATTTTGGATAATAAATCTAATAAAATTATTTTTGTATCAATATCTAATATCATTTTTATTTAATTTGAAATCAAAATTTACCAATTTTGTCGAAAAAGTCAAAATTACACAAATACTCAGGAACGGAGGGAATACTACTTATAATACTAAAATTTGTACTTCAACTTACACACTTAAAATATACACTTTTATTTTGTATCAATATAACTATAATGTGAGCATGAAAATTCAGATAGACACAAAATCCTAATGTAAAATTTTATGATCCATATAATTGGCATGAGGAAATGAATTCATCCTAAATTTGATCGATATAATTTTAATTTTTTTAGTACAATCATTATACAATCTGAAATTTAAAGAATTGCTACAAAATAAGATATGATACTCGAAACATTATCGGACGGCGTGAATAAGAAATACCGTCGCCGGTTATTCATGACGGACGACGTCGTTTAGAATTTCGAACACAACGACGACAAAATCAAACGTTGACCTCTTTGCAGAGGAAAGTGAGCGACGACGACGGCGCCGCCGGCGAGCCACCGTCGTTCTCGCCGAGCAACAGTACCCGCTCGTAGTAGTCCACGCAGAACAGCGACAGAGAAAGCTCAACCTCATTGCGGGTCGTCCACGCCCGCCGCTGCCGCCGCCCGAGCCGGCTCAGCACCGGCCGGACGCAGACCATGTAGAGGCGGCGGTAGCCGCCGAGCGCCGTGACCACCGCCCTGACGCCGTCGGGCGGCGGAGACAGGCGGCGGAAGCACAAGTTCTCCCACAACGAGTCGTTGCGGGAGATGGCGCACCACAGCCTGCAGACGCAGGCTGCGACAGCCATGGAGCGGCCGTCCAGCCGTTTGAGTATCTCTATCAACACGTCGGTATTGTCATTAATTATGCAGCAAAAGTTGTTGATTTTCTTGCCTCTGTGATCTTCTGCCATGTTTGTTTTCTCTTGGAAGGATGATAATGGAGAAGAAAGAGAAGAAGAAAAGGGAGTAGTGTAAATTAATGGGGAGAAAGAGAAGAGAGATGAGATAGATATATATGTGCATGTCTCTGGGGCTAAGCCATATAGGTACGAGAGAAAGATTGAAATATGTGCATGTATTCTTGCCTTTTTTTCATTAAAAAAAGCATTAAAATTCACAAGAAAAAATCTTTTCGTACTCATTTAAATCATCTGTTTTAATTTATGATATTTGATTGAAATTATTTTTAATTCAATTTATTTAAGATATAATTGGATCAAATTTTGAAATAAAATTTACATACTAAAAAACTAATTAAGACGTGACATAATTATATACTCCCTCCTCCATCCCCAAATAAATTTTTCTTTTTGACTTTTTGGGAAATTAAGAAATGGATATTTGGGTGTTGACTTTCCAAAAATACCCTTGATGTGATGTGTAAAAGTAAGATGTGATATGTAGATTATTAGTAAAAAGGTATGATGTGATAGCTATGGTATGAAAAAGTAAGGGGTAAAAGTGGGTTTTTAATAGAAAAAGAAAGTTTTTTTTGGATAAAGAAAAAACGAAAGGGGAAGTTTATTTGGGGAGGGAGGGAGTATTATTTCTTGTTAGAAAGAGGGCAACTTGGTTGGCTTTTGCGTGGATCATCTACTACATTTGGAAGACGCAAAATCGAGTATTATTATTGTTCAGGGGATTAAAGTCATGATCTATAACATTTTGTATGCATATGTTTTCTTCTTCTTGTATCATAGCCTTTAAGATTTATTGTGAGCTTATATTTGTGACTTGTACTCGTATCATTTGTTAGAGTATCTCACCTTAAAGGAATAAACAAGAAAATATTGAATTTATAAGCTCTTCATTTGAACTAGTATTCGATTGGATCCAACCAATCTTTTGATGTTTGTGGTTCAGCCAAGTGTCTTATAATCTAATTTAGTATTCTTATCAATTCTAAATTTATACTCCCTCTGTCCCGGAAAACATGAGAATTTTGATTTTGAAGGGGGATTTAAGGAGAGTGTATTTTGGTATTGAATTTCCAAAAATGTCCTTTGATGAGATGGGTAAAAGTATGATTTGATGGATAGATTATTAGTAAAAAGGTATGATGTGATAGATAGAGTATGAAAAAGTAAGGGGTAAAAGTGACTTTTTAATAGAAAAGAGAAGTGTTTTTTAGGACGGGTGAAAAAAGAAAAGAGAAAGGTTTTCTGGAATGGATGGAGTATATATCAGAGTAGATTTTGGCTCATCTCGTTTGTCAATGTGTCCGTCTAGACATTTATTCTTAATAGAAATCATCTTAAATAAGACTAAAATATAAAGAAAAGTACCAAAATATGACTTTTTATGTTTTTTTCGAAATAGGACTTCGCACTGTAGTAATGTGACACTGTACATGTGCACATTACTATACTTTTTTGGTAATATACATGACCATGTTTGGTAACGTAAATGCATTTTAAGTCTTATTTCGGGAATAAAAACACGGAAATCCTATTTTGGTATATTTTCAATGTTTTAGTCCTACTTTAGTTTTTCTCACTATTTTTAAAGTCTCATGAGTCTTTAGCCAGTTGTCTGTAAGGAAAAGGACATGTATTGTGACCCATTTAACCCCATTGTTCTTCTATTATATGAAATAAATTATCTTTATTTATTTTGTTTATTTTGTTGTTACCATAACTCTTTATTCTACTCTTTCCGTCCCTAAAATAATTACCTTCTTTGATCAATGTGTAAAAACCCATAATTTCTAAAATATTTTTATTTACAAATTGGTATAGAAATAAAAAATAAAAAATATATCTTTAAAAATTATATCAAAAGTTCTACAAAACAAGAAGTGACAACAATATTTTATTTTATCAAATGATCAACGAAAACGTGCAAATAAACAAAAGTTATCGAGGGAGCATAATGGTAAAGATGTAAATCATTTTGGGACGGAGAGAGTATTACTATTAAGATTCTTCTTATATTCTCTATATATACTGATATAATTTCATTATTCAATATGATCAAATATTATCAAATTCTTTTATGATCGTGTGGATTGGGTAGAGATAACTGGGTAGAGATAACTGGATTGGATCAAATATTATCAAATTCTTTAAAGATTGGGTAGAGATAACTGGATTGAGCTATAAGATACTTGGGCTGAACCACATTAAAAGATTGAATCCAATCGATCTCTTAGTTCAACTCAAGAGCTTATATACTCATTATTTTCCTCACACTTTTTTGATGTGGGATACTCTTTAACACTTCCCCTCAAGTGGATGATTGAGCCATTTTGAATCTAACCAGTTGACCACTTGCAAATGGACTCCCATCCCCTTGATTTTTTTAGCGCCAACACCTAAAGACCACGAGCCGCTGGGTATGGACTTTCAGATGAGCAATCGTGTTAAACAGGCTGCAGGCCGTTGGGTACATACTCCATACGGACAACTGGCTAAAAGACAAACGGGCCGTTATAAATGAACATCTAGACGGACACCTTGACAAACGAGGTGGGCCAAAACCTGCTTCGATACCATGTTAAAATTTTGATGGGCCGAAAACAACGGATAGCTAGAGTATGGGATAAAATTAACCACTTGCATATAAAGTCGGGATCTACTATTCTAACCCAAAAGCTTAAGCTGATAGGTAGGGCTTCACCCTGCTATATATGCTAGTAGTATTTATCTTTATTTTTTTAATGTGGAAACTCCAACATCATGCACCACCACGTCATTATCATTGATGATTGACTGCCACAATCATATCATCACCCTTATCATTCTCTTTTTATGGAGTTCGAGAGCATGAAAAGCGATAGAGAAGAAGCAGAGAACAACCTACAAGGAGAAAAAAGGAAACTTGTCATCCTCATACTCCCTCGTCCAAAAAGTTCCTTCCCTTTTTTACTTGTCTCACAAAATTATTCACATTTTTGTTAAAAACTCACTTTTATCCTTACTAATTCTTAACTTTCATATCACATCGTATCTTTTTACTAATAACATACTCATCACATCAAAGATATTTTTGAAAAGTCAACATAAAAATGTTTCTACTTTAAATTTTTTAAAAGTTAAAATCAAAACATCTTTTTGGAAGTACTCCATCCGTCCCGGAAAACATGGGAGTTTTGATTTTGAAGGGGGATTTAAGGGGAGTGTATTTTGGTATTGAATTTCCAAAAATGTCCTTTGATGAGATGGGAAAAAGTATGATTTGATGGATAGATTATTAGTAAAAAGGTATGATGTGATAGGTAGGGTATGAAAAAGTAAGGGGTAAAAGTAACCTTTTAATAGAAAAAAGAAGTGTTTTTTAGGACGAGTACAAAAAGAAAGAAGAAAAGTTTTCTGGAACGGAGGGAGTACAAATTACAGGAGTATGATTCTAAAAAAAGTCCATAATAACATCTGATGTCTTTTTGACATTATGCGGTCTTTTTAAACTTATTCGACAACATAAATACTTCAGAATCTACAGTATATACAACTATACATTTCTACATCATATCATATTTCATATCACTTCAACAAAATTAACAACACTAAAAATAATAATTTAAAAACCCCGGAATTTAAAATACTAGGTTATTCAATTTCTTATTTTTATTTTTCCAAATTAATTACTCACTATCAATATTTCAGAAATAAGATTATAAGAATGGTGAGTTATATGTCTAAAGTGCCCTAGAGATCACATATGCATTATTCTTTTCCATTATTGAAAAATAAAATTAATTATTTCAAGAATTTATTTTTAGTACTCGGTTTCCGACGCTCATTTGCTAATTAAGAATAAAATGTTGAAGATTAATATTTTCTCCGTCTCAAAACTAAGATTTGAGTATACCATTTACGTACTGTTAAACGTGTTTTTTTCTATATACTAGTATTTTGACCCGTGCGATGCACGGGGTCGAACGAAACTGTTGTCGATTTTGAAATTTTTCAATGAAATATTTATTCCAGAATCAAGTAAATATATTTCTGTCACAAATTTTAATCAATGGAAAAAAACGACAAAGTAGAATATAATATTTGAGAAATTGAAAGTGTACTCGAAAAAATCTTTTTTAATTCCAAATTTTTTGAAAGACTTTAGTGTACACAACATTTTTTGTATCGTTGTAAGCGTTTTTATTTTCATCTTGAACCAATATTTTTAATCATGTCTTTTTCTTTACTCGTGAAACAGTAACATAAAGCTAACCATGAGTAAATCCCAAATTGGTTAAAAATAATATAGCAAAGGACAATGTTTGACATTGACTTTTGTTTTTAGTCATAGCAAAACATAAGACTATTATATTGAGAATTCTATTAGATGATACCAAATTTTATTCAGGGTATGTAATCCTTTTTCTCCAACGCGATTTCTCGAAACATCAATTACATTGATAATGTTCTTTCACATCTCTTTAAAAATTAATCTTTTACCATTACACAATCCATATATTTGGTCAATGTTCTTCAATAACATAATCGGTACCCCCTTTTAAAAACTATTTTATGGTTTGAATCCCCTAACATTTGATTTCATTAAGAAGAATTGAACTGTTATCTAATCGTCTTCAACAACTACATCTAAATATGTTTGGAATGAAGAATGAGAACTTAAGTACTCTTTTTTACCTCTTAGAATAAGGGATATGACAAATTCATTTGTCATTTAACAAATTCGATTGTGGGTGCTAATAATACACTATCCTCAAAAAAAGAAAAATTTTTCATGTTCTCTAATAGGTTTGGATAAATAAAGTCCACTATACTCTTGAGGGGGTAACTTGTGTCAAGCATCAAGAATTCAAGCGGGATTTCAACGTCAGCAGTTTCATCGATCACTTGTCCAAGTTTTCCATCTTTGACTTTGCTTATCAATACAGAAAAAGATTATGTGTCCCTATCAGTGCAAGAGCGTGTAGATAAATGCAATATCATATTCTTAGCTAACCTATAAACTTTACATTACAATCACATTTGTGAGAATTGGTGGTAGCACCCACAATTTCCTTTCTCTACGCTATGAGTAGACATGAAAGAATTTGGATAAAATCACCTCCGAGTATAGCTGTTTTCCCTCCGAATGGTTCATTTATGAAGTTATTATTAAAAAAATCTCATTAAATCTCTCATTTTTCTGAAAAAAATTAGTGGGTGACTCATGGTACTTGTCACTAATAATGTGACAAACAACTTTTTCAGGAGATTCCCACATCTTGACTTAACAACTTCTTTCATACCTTCAATAAATTCTTTATCATCGGTTAATAACCTCAATGCTTCACATTATTCCTTGAATGCATTATGTAGAACATTGTTAACTGTCCTCAAGCGCTCTTGTTGGACATTTAATACTTCTCAAGTAGTATAACTTTCTAGTTTTTGTAAGCACGTATTGTAGTCTGCCTATTGACGGTCGTTGTTGCCTTTGAACTATTTCCACACTTTGTGGTTGTACATAAAATATTCTCGAAACTCTTTGCATACGTCAAATTTTATCCCGCATTATATTTTGTATTGAAAATCATCCAAGCTTCAAACATTGAGGCTTTATCAATAATTTCTTCGACAACA